CTGACGGGGCATGACAGCTAATGGGCAGTATTAAACAAGATTCATTAAAAAAAAACAAAAAAAAAAACACAACTAACAACCCTCCCACCCACCCAGGTATATCTAACCATGCTAGTTAAAAACAACAGCCCTTACCCAACCCACCCTTTCACCTGCATTGATTTTAGGGAAGAAAACAATAAAAATTTTTAAAAAAAGAAAACTTACCACCCTAAAAACAAGAAAACCCCAGAAACATGAGAAACCTACAGACTCCTAGAAACATAAAGAATTATTACAGAGCTGGTTATTTATAGAAAGTAAACACTTTGCTACACACATTAACATTCAGTCAGTGTGCTCCGAGATAGAGCCTTAAGAAAAAATACTACCTGAGCTTGTAAGTTAATACAATCATTAAAAGGAGGTCTAAGACCATGTGGATACATGAAACTTTTAGAACCATTACTGGTTAAATGACGATGGAAAACATCCCACCAGGCTGGCTTGTTAACCCGTAAGATCAATTTAAAAATAGACATCATCGAGGTACTTCTTCACCATGACATTTAAAACCCAATTCACAATCATTACAGTGGTCTTAGGACCCTCTCCTCCAACCAAAACAAAACTCAACGAGGGGAAGAAGAGGTGGAGAGGCAGTACAGTATATCGTGACAATGTGCTTCTCAATTTTATCAAGTATTTAATAAACAAGCAGAGGAAAAGAACAACCCGTCAACATGTTACCTTTGGTAGAAAAAAAAATTTTTTTTTTTTTTTAAACACAAAACAAAAGAGCAACACACACTTTACCAGTCACTGCTCAGTAAGACAGCGATTGTTGCAATGTCGCGGAGATGAACATCCAGTGGGGTCTAGGAGAGCAACAAATACAATCAAGAAGTCTAAAGATCCTCATTCCCTTCAAACAGTTGATGTTTCCAACAAGACCCTTAGAATTGCTCCTAAAAGGGTATATACCTGCCGGCATTCAAAACAGATAAAATATTTTTTCTCTTGAAGAGAAAAAAAGAGACCTAAAGGTCTTTATTTGTAGCTAAGTCCTCAAATAGGTCAGATGAACCAGTAGTTCCATAATACTGAACAACATGGTAACCGTGTGCGTAATTCCTGGTTGCGGGGGGTGAGGGAAAGGTTTGGGGAGTCACGTTGGTAAGGAACACTTGGATTTCTGACTATGTTTGCCTGAGTAGAAGGAATATTTGGTTTCAAGATTTCTTGTTCAAGGTCAAACGTTTCTCCCGGGAGAAATCAGTTCTGGATTCCTGAAAACGTTTTCTTCTAGAGGTAGCTTCACGCCCACCCACTCCCCAGTGGTTTAATACTATTTATTCCGAGACCCGTCAGATGCTAACATGAGGTAGATGAACTTTTGCCAAAAGTGAGGTAGAAACCAAACAAAACAACTGGTGTGGAGTGGAGTGGAGTGAGTGGTGTGCGTGCCCTGTGCTCCTGGCCTGCAGGAAGCCAGAGAGAGTTGCAGAGCCTCGAGAGCTCGGAGCTCTCTGGCATCATCATCATCATCACACAAGTAGAAGAGTTCGACTTTGATACAGCCCCAGACTGTTGGAACCGCAAGAGTGATGTTTTCAATAAATACCCTAAATACTTTTTGGCACCATTGAATTTTTTTTTCTTTCCCCAAACAGAAAAACAAGCCTATTAATAACTTTGGCATTTCTTTCACTATCTACCAGAACACAGCAATCTTTGAATCTCCCAGAGAGGAAGACGACACATAGACAGACAGTATGCTGCTGCTTCAAGCCTAAAAGACACCCCTCCTCAAATCATTAAGCTTTGGCTTAACTAGAAGTACACAAACCGAGCCAATCTCAAGCTCTTCTCTTACAGCTCCAACTCAAAGTGCCTTAAACCTGGCGAACTTTTTTGGCCCAATACATAATTTAGATTCTGTTTATGGTACCCTTGTGTTTCCCCTAAATAAATTACACTTAAAAGGGCATCCATCAGTCAAGGAGTTAGTGCACCTGGGGCCGTGCCCAGCGCCCTGGGCTCCAGCCACCTGCCAGCTGCAATAGAGCACAGGCTGAGAGAGCATTGCCTCTCAAGAAGGAATGATTTTTTTTTTTTAAAGCAAAAGATTAACACTTTGAAATGTGAAGTCAGTGACAAACCAAAAGTGGTTTTTATCTGTGCATTAGATTTCCTTTAGCCATCTCAATACCCAAACCTATATTTTCGAATCCAATTGGCATTTCCGAACATAATCTGGCCTTCTATCCCATCACCCTGCCACCTGACCAGATTAGACATACACGGGGATTATTGTCTGAATATCACATTTACTCAATAGAAACATTTTACTCTTCTCCCTTCCGGCACCTGGGGCCTCTCACCATGTTAAAGACTCCCATGTTAAAGACTCCCCTTTCTGACGCAATTCCTACCCACCCTAGCATCACCTCACATCGGGCAGGAGGTATGCACTTAAATACAACTAATTTTGAACAGCCTCCCTCACACTAGAGAGTTCCAAATATTGGCTTTTCTCCTCTTTCTTTGATTTGGAGCATTCCACATTGTCCAATAAACACATTCCAAAGTGCTTCGCACCAATCCCTGCGGATCAGGAGTCAATTGTGGGCGGCCACAGAGGCCAATGTTTTAAAAACAACATCTTCCCCAGTGTGACCATGTTTTGCAAAGGGCAGGGATGCACAATTGTGGGTAAGGAGAGAGAGACCCCCACGGAGGGTCAAAAGAGGCAGCACCACCCACCTACCCACATTCCAGGGAGAACCTCCTAGAGCTTTAAGCCTGCAAACTGATCAGTCTATTGATTATAAGACCTGGTCATTTCAGGCATGTGTGGAAACGCTGGTTTCACAATCAAATCCATAGAAAAGTGATAAATAAGCAATTTTAGTTACTGCCATTCACCAAGAAAATTCCCCACTCAGATCCCAAGGTGTCCCCACATGTGGGAGACTGGGAAGAAAAGATGAGAGCAAAGGTGATGATGAAACTGAAAACGGAATCATCAAAGGGAGTAACCACACTTGGTACGTCATCCCAGCCATTATCATGACCTAGAGTTTTCTGAGAACATTAAAGAACTTTCAAGATCCATTTCTTCAATAATTAAAAAAAAAAACTGTTTTTAAGCATTTAAAACAAGTTGTCTTTGGTGTTTAAAGGGTGATTTGTTGGGTAAGGTGGGGTGGGGCTGGGGCTGAGGAAAAGACCAGCACCAAGTTATTCCAAAATAAAAAATAAAAATGCTTACTTACATGAGCTCTTTACCAAAGACGTTAGGGACAAAATAAAAGGCAACTGAATAGAAACTGAGGCAGGATTCACTGTTCAATTCTTCAATAAAAAAGGCGTTTTTACAAAATGAGACTTCCTGTCACCTCCCACCCTGTAACAGCAAGCTGAGGCGGTGGGTTCAAGTTTTTTAAATTTTTGGATACTTTACGGAAGCTCTTCAAGAAGTGAGGTTCCCCCCATTTCGGTCATTTAGAAACCCTAGAACCAAAGCAATGGGAACCGGAATTAAATGTCCAGTAAAGCAATTTGATTGATTTGTTAACACTGTCCCCGACATCTTTTCTTTGGGGATGACAAATTGCTTCATTTGTCAGTTTATTCTGTTCACTTAAAACGACATCCATATTGCAAAAGGGATTTCTTTTAAATTCAGGAACAGAAAGTGACCCGTTAGTCTGTTTAAACAAGAGCTCTTCCTGTAAGCCCATGGCTTCCGAGAGAGCCTGTTTTCCTCCTGAGCTGTGCAAGTCTCGAATCTGGTTCTTATTTCCGTGTTTGCGGGAAATGCAGGGACCCGTGTGGGTTCTGCCAAGCAGGGTATCAGCCCTACCGGCTTCCCACTTAAAAAAGACAGATAATGCCCAGAAGCACAAGGTTTTGTACCCAAGTCCAGGTTACTACGAACCAACCCTGTAAAGTGACCGACGCCGTCCCACGGATCTGCAGTGGAGACTGGCTTCAATTTTCATTCTTTGGTACCGAGATAGAGGTTTCACAAAAGACACTATGTCCTACATTTTGAGTTGGGGCAATTTAAGTTTACAGATCCTTTACATTTAAAGGCCTTTGGGGAGCATGGGGGGGGGGTATGGAGAGACGTTAATCTTGAGGTCCTGCGGTAGGGCGCGGGGAGCAGACCGCTTTTTAAGAGACCCGAGCAGAGGGTGAAGGATGGGCTGTTCCTATGAATCTGACTTTCAAAACATTCTATTTCCCTGCACTTCCCAAGCAGGAAAAAAAATTGTGCTTTTAAACATAAAAGTTCATTCCCTTGCCTACTACTCTTCTTAGCAAAAGGCATGCATGCTTCCACGAACAGAACAACATTCAACCTAGGACCGGGGATCAACCCCAACCCTCCTGCAGAGTCCGGAAGAGTTTGGGGGTGACTGGCTTCATTCTCACGCTCCCAAGCGACTACCTCGGGACACACATGTGCACCCACCAGGCCAGGTCCAAAACCCTCTTTCTGAGAATGAGGTCCACTCTCTTCCTCCGTTTGGTTAACTCTTTATAACCAACAGCAAACTAGGAATACTTAACTTTTGAGAATACTTTTAACAAAAATGCTGAACTACATTTATTACTTTTTAGAAACTAAAGTAGGAAGAGAAAGGTTCTTTGGGAGGTTGTGCATCACCTTCAGCCTCATTAACCTGATGTAAGACGGCCTCACACACACACCCCTACCTTGAAAGAAACAAAGGTGACATAAGCTAAACGAGGAATATGAGTAGGCATTTCTCGGGTGGCAAGCCACAGCCCCATCTTCTAGGAACAAGAAAAGATGCTGAACAGGATGACAGACACACTGAGATATAAAAGGAGAACGTTAAGAAAGTTCTCCATTGCAGCATTTAAAAAAAAATTTTCCCCCAAAAAAGATCAAGATCACACAACACAATCTAACCCCATAAACACAGTATTCTCAAGAACACAAATACTCTATAATTAAGCATTTAAAATTCTATTTCCCCACGTTTTATACTTTTTTGTGGGGTTTTTTTAACTTAGTAGTTTTTCCGTGTTTCCTTGGCTCAATCTACAGAGTATCAGCCCACCACACACATCCAGTGCCCTGCCAGCCAGAGACAATAGGCTTGTGCATGTCACGTCCCACGGAGGGGAAGAGGGACACGTGACCTCCACTGAACTGAGGGCCAGCTGGAGAAGGAAATGTAAAGATTTATGAGGTAGATAGAAATTATCACTTCACAGGCTCAATCCCTGCAGAAAAGATAAGTACATTCATCTGTAAAAAAATTAAAGATGAGGTAGGACTTAGGCAACGTTGTATTTTTCTTGTTCTCTTTAAACAAAAGAAAAAAAGAAATTTCCCTGAGACTGTTTCTTCCTTGAAATTCAAAAGGAGAAGAGAGAGAGAGAGAGAGAGAGAGAGAGAGAGAGAGAGATGCACACCCCAAACACAAAAGCCTAGAAAATGTGATTAGAAGATGAGGATTCGATTGTTGCCAAAGTCAACCACGACGATCATCCCATCGGGGGTGACAGCGATGCCGGAAGGACGGTCCATCTGCCCAAAGCCACTGCCCTGAGCTCCAAACTTGCACAGGAAGCTGCCGTTGGACTCGAACATCTGTACCCGGTGGTTCCTGGAATCGGCCACAATGATGCGCCCCTCCTGATCCACGGCCACGCCCTGCGGGCGTAGGAACTGCCCGTTGCCGGTGCCCTCCGAGCCCAAGAAGCGTGCAGACTGGCAATCGGGGTGAATAACCAGGAGCCGGTGGTTGTTGAAGTCGGTGACCACCAAGTGGCCCTCGTGGTTGAAGGCCACGCCCCGAGGGGAGTCAAAGTGCTTCCAGAGAGCCCCCTCGAAGCCATACTTATTCAGGAAGACGCCGTCGGGCCCAAACAACTGGATCCGGTGGTTCCTCGTGTCTGAGACCAGGATCTTGCCCTCAGAATTCACCGCCACATCCCAAGGGTAGTTGAACTGCCCGTTTTTGGTCCCTTTCTCGCCAAACTTGAGGAGGAACTGGCCCTCGAAGGTGAAGACCTGGATTCGATGATTGTCCTTGTCGGCCACCACGATCCTGCGGGAGGCGTCGCAGGCCACCCCGGCCGGTCGGTCGAACTGCCCGGGCCGGGAGCCCAGGGTGCCGAATTTGTGGTGGAAGGTGCCACAGGGCTTGAACACCTGGATGCGGTTGTTGCTGCGGTCGGCGACCACGATGTAGCCCTCCTTGTCCACACTCACGCCCCAAGGACGGCAGAGTTTGCCATCGCTGTCGCCCTCACTGCCGAAACTCAGGCCCGGGATCCCAATGCCCACGTAGCTGCGGCCCGACTTGACCACCACCTTGAAGGGGCTGTTCTCGATGTGCTGGTTGCACAGGGTGACCGACACCAGGTGCTCACCCTCCAGCTGGGGCCGGTAGCTCACCAGGTAAGTCCCGTTCTGCTGATCACTCACCTCGGCCCCGAACAGGTTGCCGTCAGGGCCCAGGACCACGGCTGACATCAGGTCGCCCCCCGAGAGACGAGGCTCTCCATCGTGGTCGTAGCCCATGACAGTGAAGGTGGCCACCTTACCCTGGAGGGCCCGCTTGAGGCCGTCGCCCGTGGCCTTGGTGAGTGGCGCGAAGGCCCCGCTGCTGACGAAGCCAAAGGACTTGATGGCGAGGTACAGTGCCTGGTCGGGGGGCGTGAACATGACCCGGTCATCTTCCTGGGGCTGCAGGAAACTGCGCACCGTCTTCAGCTCCTGCACCTGCGCCAGCATGCGGTCTCGGGCCAGCAGGATGTCCAGCGCCCGGCCCTCCTCCAGGACCTGCTGGACGGCGCTGATGGTGCTCTCCAGCTTGTTGAGGTTCTGCCGCAGCTTTTCCACCTGCAGGTACAGAGACTTGGCCTTCACCTGGCGGATCTTCTCTACCTGGAGGGAAAGGCGAGGACGGGGAGAGAGGACACAGAGGCTGAGAGCCAGGCACAGAGGCTCAGAGCCCATCACCTGACGCTAGTCAGGAAGAACCCTCGGACAAACCCGTGCTGAGGAGATGATCCACAGAAACAACGGGTCTGCACTCCTCAAACTCGGCAAAATCCAATGGCAAAAACAGGCTGACGAACTGTTCCGGGTATAGCGGATGACGACACAGACATAACTAAATGCAATGAGGGACCCTGGATTGGGCGGGGCAGGTGTGAAAGGAACAAGGTGGGGAGAGCTGAGTTGTGCTACTAAAAATACTATTTCTTTTTTTTTTTAATATATTTTTATTGACTTTTTACAGAGAGGAAGGGAGAGGGATAGAGAGTTAGAAACATCGATGAGAGAGAAACATCGATCAGCTGCCTCCTGCACACTCCGCACTGGGGATGTGTCTGCAACCAAGGTACATACATGCCCTTGACTGGAACCGAACCTGGGACCCTTCAGTCCGCAGGCCGACGCTCTATCTGTTGAGCCACACCGGCTAGGGCTAAAAATACTATTTCTGAAATTTGACTACTGACTGACTGAGGAGTAGATACTAGCACAGAACTGGGATTAAACTTCCTGATTTTAATGAACTGTGTGCTTAGCTAAGAGAATGTTCTTGATCAGAGGCAATAAATAGTTTAGAACTTGGGGGATAAAGGGACATCGTGTCTCCAACACCAACTTACCCTCAAGTCAGAGCCATACATTTTATATATACTAGTAGAGAGTGATGAAAATAGGGCAAAATATAAATAACTGGTGAATCTGGATAAAGGATGTGCGGGGTTCTTTTATTATTAACCCCTGCAACTTTCTTTTAAGTTAAAAATTAAATAAAAATAAAAAAAACAGCGCTCTAGCAAGTTGTTTATTGAGTATCTACATTGTGTCAGGCACTGGAGGTACAGTGGCCAACGGAAAACATGGATGGTCCTTGCCCTCATAGGAGATTATACTTTTAAATGACATATACTCAAGCAAGCACACAGAGAAACAAGGTAAGGTAATTTCTGGTGATGATGGGTGTTAGAGAGTAGAAACGGGAGATGCAAGGCAGCGTCTAGGGAGGCTGGATTTAGACAGAGGGATGTCAGAGGCCCTTCCTTTCACAAGCCAAGGGCTAAAAAGAGTGATCCAGCCCTGACCGGTGTGGCTCAGTGGATAGAGCATCGGCCTGTGGACTGAAGGGCCCCAGGTTTGATTCCAGTCAAGGGCATGTACCTTGGATGCGGGCGTATCCCCAGTTGGGAGTGTATAGGAGGCAGCTGATCGATGTTTCTCACTCTCTATCCCTCTCCCTTCCTCTCTGTAAAAAAATCAATAAAAAAAATATATTTTTTTAAAACACCACCATAAAGTCATTTTTTAAAAAATAAATGAGTAAAAAGAGTGTTCCAAGCAGAGGAAAGAGTAGGCATGAAGACCCTGAGGTGGGCACTTGCCTGGAATTTCAAAAAAAAAACTAGCGAGTTTTACGCAGGGAGAGACATGAGTGGATGGATGTATGTTCTTATATAACCTACAAGGAGCATGTATTGGAGAGGACAAGGGAGGAAGCAGAGACCAGCAAGCACCCAGGTGAGGGGGGATGGCATCTTAGGCCACAGTGGTGGCTGTGAAGGTGGAGGGATAGATAGAAACGTGGCAAAAGGATGCCAGAGGCAGAACCAGCAGGGCTTCCCAACAGCCGAGGCCAGCCTTCCACTCCCAGAAGACTGAACGGTCAGTGCTGCTACGGAGAGCCTGCAAGGCCTTGAATAAAATGCCGCCCCCGCCCTCACCCACAAGAAAGATACTGAGAGCCGAAACCGGTTTGGCTCAGTGGATAGAGCGTCGGCCTGCGGACTGAAAGGTCCCAGGTTCGATTCCGGTCAAGGGCATGTACCTGGGTTGCGCACACTTCCCCAGTGGGGGATGTGCAGGAGGCAGCTGATCGATGTTTCTCTCTCATCGATGTTTCTAACTCTCTATCTCTATCTCTCTCCTTTCCTCTCTGTAAAAAATCAATAAAATATATTTTAAAAAAAAGGAAGATACCGAGAGAGTAAAGGGAGTTGGTGAAGACCTAATTCCACATTACACCTCCTCTGGTCTCCTCTCCTCACCTCTAAGAACAGGTTTTAGAAACCTTCAATAGGAAGCCCAAAAGGCCTTACCCACAAAAGTTGGAAAAAGGAGCCCCCTAAATCTAAAATGCTATAATAAACATGGATCCAGATCTGCCCCAGTAATTCCTGCCTCGAAGGTGGGACTTTTGTCTGACCAAAGAAAACAGAGTCGTTTCTCCATTCTTTTGCATTAACGAACTAAAAGTCCTCTAATTCTAAGTGATTTCTTCCAGGAAGGGAGCACAAAGGTCACCCAGCTAGTTCACCCTGCTCTGCAGAGGACCGTGAATGCTGACTGCTTTGAAGGCTGCAGAAAGCCTTTTTCAAAAGGTGGGGAGGCCTGGATTTTCATCGGATTTTCCCTTGGGGAGTGATAAGGTGATTTCCGACCCACTCACATGTGTTTTCATCTACTCCCCTGGAAGCAACACTCGACTGTGCAGAGAGGGCCTTGTGGGGACAGGTCAGAGAGAGGCTTCGTCCTTCGGTCTTGCACTGGACCAAGCCTCCAGGCTTTGGTTCTGACCCCTCAGCTAGGTGGTTGTCGCCAACCCCAAGAGGAAGCCACACCCGCTGGAAATTTATAAGCCATAAGAATGAAAGGTGGTTCACCTGCCCCTCCAGCATCTCAATGTACAATAGGTGAGATGCAAAAAGGCAAAACCTTATCACAAAGAGGTGCCCAGGCAGAAAAATTTGTAATCAATAAAAGGGAGGGGGATTCCCACATGATGTGGGGCGGGGTACCATAGCGAAAAGTCAAGATAAAAGAGTGTGTCCAGAATGAGCAAGCCTATTTGGGAGGAATCTGAGAATGAGTGCTTGGGCAAGTAGAAATAATAACGTTTATTGCACAAAGAAATGGACTCTAACACCCTCTCCCCCCAATTTGCTTCTCTTAGCATCAAAACTTGCTTTCCATTCCTCCTGAAAGAAAACTGCCTTTGGAGTCAGCCTCACGGGAGGGAGGATGAGAAGGTAGGTGAGATCCGCAGAAACACACAAAGGCCTTTTCATCGGCAAATCCAGAAGAGCGAGTTTGTGGCAGAGTTCACCACAGAGCTCTCAGGTTGCAAGGAGTGGGCCCCTTTTCAGTTATAATGAACATTCGTGGGTGGCATGAGGCTGACAGGCCACGGGGGCATCTGAGTGTCTGATAACCATGTCAGGGCCACAAAGGTGCCTAAATAAAATATGTGCTGAATTAAATCTTGGGACTTTTTTCCTCCCTCGGAGTCTTCCTCTTCTTATCAAAAAAGCAACCGAGCCATATTCCTTGAGAGGTCGGACGAAGCAGAAAGCAGCGAATAGGAGCTAACCAAATGGGAGAATGCAAGATCCGAGGTAGCCTTCCAGAGAACATTTTAGGGCGTAGTGCTACGTGAGGGCCACCTCCGGAAATAGAGGTACCACCTCGCTACCATCATATAGTTTGATGATCAAAAGAAGCATGCTCGCCCTTTATATGTGGCCTCACGTGTGCGCTCAGAGAATGTAATTACAGTGGAACTGGCATGTGGCACAGGCCCAGTGGGTAGGGAGAGCCACCTGATTTTTAAAACATGTATATTTGTATTGATTTCAGAGAGGAAGGGAGAGGGAGAGAGAGATAGAAACATCAATGATGAGAGAGAATCATTGATCGGCTGCCTCCTGCACGCCCCCTATGGCAACCTGGTCATGTGCCCTTGACCGGAATCGAATCTGGGACCCTTCAGTCCGCAGGTCGGCTCTATCCCCACTGAGCCAAACCAGCTAGGGCTCCAGCTGACTTTTTTATCTAAACAGCACACCAGTGTGCTCAGCATGCTTTCCTGCTCCAACAGGAAGAAAGGGCACACGCTCACTGCCCTGGCCAAGTGGAAAACTGGCCTTCCACAAGGGTTCAGGAAGTGCAACCAGCCAGGACACCGAAAATAAGGATGTTGCCTACCAGCCTGCTTTCCTAACAACGGCTTCGATTGTCTGTCCTTTCAGCTTCCTTCGGAGCGTGTGTGCCATAGAAAACTCGGGACTCCTTCCAGTCTTGGTACCCGACCACTTCTGAAAAGGCTTCTTGTTATTTTACTGCCTGGAGAGCACCCACAAGGTTCCAGGGATCCCTGAATTTTTCTGCCAATGGAACTCTGGACAACTACCAAGTCATCTAAATTTAGAGCTGGGGCCCAGGATCTGACATGTGGTTCACGGAAGAAATGCTGGCCGGCCGAGGAGGCCAGAACTGGTGGGGGGCCGGGGGGTGGGGCGCACTCTCCCCATTCATTACCTTCCACAGCAGCTCGCACTCCCGCTCCTCCAGAGCCTTCTTATGTCTTGCAGTCACGGCCTTGACCTCCGACTGTACCACCTTGGCCTTCATCTCCACCTGCTCCGCCACGGTCTGGGCCTGCTCGATACTCAGCTGGAAAGCCAGAAACAATTGCATGGCATCAGAAGGACCTTCACACGCTTTCAACAAAATGTTTAAGCCCGCCTGCCCCCCCAACCCCCACCAGACCTGAAAAGCGAACACCCAGGGCCCCCCAGACCGCTTGCTCCACTTCCTTGGAAAGAAAAGCAGACACTTAGGGAGAGAATGGCATCTGTCTGACATGTAACTGAAGGAGTTGCTGGCAAGCGCTGGATGTCTTTGTAGGGGAAATGGCACCTACGCGGTGAATGTCAGGACTATTAAGAGCTACTCTGACACAGTGAAACCAGTGTAGCTGGGTCGCAGCCGAAAACTGGGGATACGGATCAGATGTGAAATGCACTACCCCGGGCACGCGAACAACTTCCTTCCCACTGACTGTCTGGCCTTCTTACTGCCCACCTGGGGGAAACCCTGAGGGCTGGGCCCATCCCACACGTGAGGGTTATACAACAGGCTGCAAGCCAGCGGTTATCCATCACCTTCCTGTCATGTCATTTCTAGCCAGAACCAACCCCACATGCATACTGGGAATATTGGTCACCTCAGAAACCGTGCCCTGTGGTTAGAGACCATCAACACCACCACCACCCCCACACACACCCTGTACCACCAGCTCTAGTAAATCAGCCAGTTTAATCAGACGTATTATTGTTCATAAAAAATTAATCCAGACAGAAGGCCTCGTGTTTTCATTAATATTATATGACACGTCTTCAAAAGGATTTCTCTGAGATACTGAGGTATTAAATCAGGGATTCTACTAGTAAACTGACTGCTGATGGTGCAGTAGTCTCAGAGCTGGCGTCCCAAACCAGGAGGGGCCTGGAGAAGCATAAAGAGTTTGGAGCCTGGCCTGGGCTCAGGAATTGGTGACGGGTGACCAGCCATCCCTGTACCCTGGACAGAGGAGTATCCAGAATACGGAACACACCAAAAACTGGGGCAGTCCTGGGCAAACCAGGCTGATGATCAACACAGGAGTCGGGTAACTGGGTTCAAATCCTGGCTCCACCGCCTACTGGTTAAAAGGCCTTGAGACGAGTTCCTGGCCCCCGACCCTGGTAAAGGAGGACTGTGAGAAAAAATGCACAGAATACATGGGGAAGAGCAGACCACAACAGCTTGCAAGCAAAGATTCTTCCCTAGAAGTTCCAGTAGGAGCATAGCGCATTCTTGCTGACACCCTGATTTTGGACTCCTAGCCTTTAGAACTGCAAGAGAACACATTCCTATTGTTTTAAGTCACCCAGGTGGTGGTAAGTTGTTGAAGGAGCCCCAGGAAACTAACAAGTAGCCAACAAATGGAAGCAGATGAATTTGTCCAAATTTTCCCTTAAGGTCAAAAACCAGAATGACCAACAAAGCAAGTGTGCATCTAAGCAGATAAAATGGGGTTTGGTAGATTTCAAATGTCGCAGGCTGTCAAGTCAAGATTCATTCAGAAAAAGAGAGATCTCACTAGACATTGAAACAGAGATGATTTACAGAATCGGGCTAACTAGGAATTGGAGCAGGGCTAGGACAAAGGGCACGCTGAGGATGAGAGATAGACAGTAACTGGGGGAAGTAGCCACCGACCCTTCGGGGGTTCCCAAGAGCAAAGAGAAGAAATTGGGGGTTTTCCCCGTTCATTCTGGGAGCGGCAAAAGCAAGACATGGGAAGCAACTTCTGCAGCCAGGATGAAAAAATGCCCCTGATAACAACATGAAGTTAAGAGGAAGAAGCGAGTCCCTTCTTCCCACGTCCAGGTAGTGGCTGGGAGGGAGTGCTGCAGCCACAGCGTCCTGTGGTGCAGGTGAGAAAGGGTGGGATAGGAGAACTCAGTGACGGGTACACCCTGTTTTCAGGTGTGCTGGTTATTAATTAGCACAGACATGTCCACACCTACAACTAAGCCTGTGTCCGTAATATCTCTTTTTAAAAAAAGAGAGATTGGCTCAGTGAATAGAGCATCGGCCTGTGGACTGAGGGGTCCCAGGTTCGATTCCGGTCAAGGGCATGTACCTGGGTTGCAGGCACATCCCCAGTGGGAGATGTGCAGGAGGCAGCTAATCGATGTTTCTCTCTCATCGATGTTTCTAACTCTCTCTCTCTCTCTCTCTCTGAGATAGAAACATCAATGATGAGAGAGAATTATTGATCGGTTGCCTCCTGCACACCCCGCACTGGGGATGAAGCCCAAAAACTGGGCATGTGCCCTGAAACAACCACTGACCCATGCTAGTTGGACCATACCCTCCTGCACACCCCGCACTGGGGATGGAGCCCAAAAATTGGGCATGTGCCCTGAAACAACCACTGAGCCATGCTAGTTGGACCATAATATTTCTTTTTTATTGATTTCAGAGAGGAAGGGAGCAGGAGAGAGAGAAACATCAATGATGAAAAAGAAAAAAAGAAAGTAAAGGAAAAGGAAAGAAAAGGAAACAACAATGATGAGAATCCCTCATCAGCTGCCTCCTGCATGACCCCTACTGGGGAGACTGAGCCCCCCACTCAGGCAACCGGGGCATGGGCCCTGGCCAGGAATCGAACCGTAACCTCCTGGTTCATAGGTCAATGCTCAACCACTGAGCCACACCAACTTAATGTTTCTTCAATGATCAGCAGAGGTGGCAAAATGCTTTCTATTTTCACCAATGTCATTCGTTGTATACCAAACTGATTTCTATAAAAAAAAAAAAAAATCACGAGATTTGAAAATAAGGCCAACACTCCTGTAGGGCAAGAACTGGCTGGGAAAGCAACGACCACCCCCTTTGCGTGGGGGTGGGGTGGGGCGCTTATCATGTGACTCCACTCTGCTCCCTCAGGCCCTGCCAGATCCCTGCAAGCCAAGCCCTTGGGTTTGGAACTCCCATTCTCTAGCAAGAACCTTTTCTTCCATTTTCCAAGCAGGTGGAAGGGGAGAAAAGCTCTTACTACAATCTCAGTCACCCCAGGCATGCAAGGATAACATCAATCCTAGGGTGGAGAGTCATAAAGGCCGTGTTGCAGACAAAATGGGTCTTTGCTTTCTAAATCGTGCACAAACCAGTCGAGCGCTGCATTCCAAGATG